TCATTACTCATTATGAGCATATCATCCACATATAAGCAAACAATGACTATGTGATTTGGAACATTTTTAATGTACACACATTTATCACATTCATTTATCTTAAATCCATTTGACAACATTGTTTGGTCAAATTTAGCATGCCATTGTTTGGGTGCTTGTTTTAATCCGTAAAGGGACTTAACAAGTCTACAGACCTTCTTTTCTTTACCTGGAACCACAAACCCTTCAGGTTGTTCCATGTAAATTTCTTCCTCCAACTCTCCATTTAAGAAGGCCGTCTTAACATCCATTTGATGAATTTCAAGACCATAAACTGCAGCTAACGCTACTAACGTTCTTATGGATGTAATTCTTGTAACTGGAGAGTATGTATCAAAATAGTCAAGACCTTCTCATTGTCTATACCCTTTGACCACAAGTCTTGCCTTATACTTGTCAATAGTACCATCATCTTTCATTTTCCTCTTAAAGATCCATTTAGAACCCAACGGTTTATTTCCAGGAGGAAGATCAACCAATTCCCATGTATGGTTGTTCAGTATGGATTCTATTTCACTATTGACCGCCTCTTTCCATAACAATGATTCCGAAGAAGACATAGCTTCTTTAAATGTTTGAGGCTCATTTTCCAATAAGAAAGTCACAAAATCTGGTCCAAATGAAGTAGACGTTCTTTGACGTTTACTACGTCTTGGATCCTCTTGGTTAAGTGTACTTTCTTTTGTTTCTTCCCGAGGTCGTTTAGATCCTTCACCAATCGACTCACATTCCTTTTTATACGGATATATATTTTGAAAGAACTCAGCATTATCTGATTCTATAACCGTATTATTATGAATGTCGGGATTTTCTGATTTATGAACCAGAAATCGATATGCTTTACTATTAGTCGCATATCCTATGAAAATACAATCAACGGTTTTTGGTCCTATTTTTACCCTTTTGGGTTTAGGAACTTGCACTTTTGCCAAACACCCCCACACTTTAAAATAATTCAAGTTGGGGTTTCTTCCTTTCCATTTTTCATATGGAATGGATTGTGTTTTGCTATGGGGTACTCGATTTAGTATTCGGCTAGCCGTAAGAACAGCTTCCCCCCACAAGTTCTGTGGCAAACTAGAACTTATCAATAATGCGTTCATCATCTCCTTTAATGAACGATTCTTTCTTTCTGCAATCCCATTGGATTGGGGCGTGTAAGGGGACGTCGTTTGATGAATAATTCCATATTCTAAACATATTTGTTCAAAAGGAGATTTATATTCACCACCCCTATCACTTCTTATCATTTTGATTTTCTTGTTAAGTTGCGTTTCAACTTCATTTTGGTATTGCTTGAATGCGTCTATTGCTTCATCTTTACTATTAAGTAAGTAAACATAGCAATATCGAGTACTATCGTCAATAAAAGTTATGAAATACTTCTTTCCACCGCCAGATGGTATTGACTTCATGTCAAAAATATCTGTGTGAATTAAGTCTAAAAGATTTGAATTCCTTTCAACTGACTTATAAGGATGTTTAACATACTTAGATTCCACACATACTTGACATTTTGATTTGTCACATTCAAACTTAGGCAATACTTCCAAATTAATCATTTTCCGCAGGGTTTTATAATTGACATGACCCAAACGTATATGCCATAATTCATTTGACTCAAGTAAGTAAGATGAATCTGAAATTTTATTATTATTTTCAACAACCATTACATTCAGCTTGAAAAGGCCCTCAGTGAGGTAACATTTTCCTACAAATATCTCGTTCTTACTTATTACAACCTTATCGGATACAAATACACATTTAAAACCATTCTTAACAAGAAGTCCAGCAGAGACTAAATTCTTCCTAATCTCGGGGACATGAAGGACGTTGTTCAAAGTCACCACTTTGCCGGAAGTCATTTTGAGAAATATCTTCCCACATCTTTTAATCTTGGCCTTTGCAGCATTTCCCATAGAAAGCGTCTCATCGGGTCCAACAGGTGCATAAGTAGCAAAAGCTTCTCTAACAGCACAAACATGGCGAGTGGCTCCAGAATCAATCCACCACTCTTTAGGATTGCCCACCAAGTTGCATTCGGAAAGCATGGCACACAAGTCATCAACATCATCATGCTTTTCAACCATGTTTACTTGACCCTTCTTCTTGTCTTTCTTCGGATCTCCACACTCCGTAGATTTGTGTCCATCTTTTCCACAGTTGTAGCTACTGAACCGCTTCTTGCTTGGGTTGTATTTCGGTCCAGAAGCCTTCTTCCTCTTTTTGTTCTCTTCAACAATATTTGATCCCATTATTGTTGAGTTTCCACGGCCTCTCTTGTCAGCAGCTTTATTGTCCTCTTCGATTCTCAATCGAACAATGAGATCTTCAAGGGACATCTCCTTGTGTTTGTGTTTCAAATAATTTTTGAAGTCCTTCCACAACGGAGGCAACTTCTCAATCATCACTGCTACTTGGAATGCTTCATTGATGACAAGACCTTCAATGAAAATTCTGTTAGTAAACATAATAAAATTAATACTACCAACACTAGTATTAATTCTACTTATACCTTCAGCAAGAAGATCGTGAATAATCATTTGCAATTCCTGGACTTGGGTAATAACAGACTTGATATCTACCATTTTGTAGTCCAAAAACTTTGCAGCCACGAATTTCTTCAACCCGGCATCTTCAGTTTTGTATTTCTTTTCGAGCGCAATCCACAGTTCTTTTGACGTTTCCACGCCACTGTAGACGTTATACAAAGCATCCTCCAGCCCGCTTAGCATATAATTCTTGCACAAAAATCTGAATGCTTCCACGCCTCAATCACGAGAAAGCATTCAGTCTTTGGAGTTTCATCAGACAACACACGAACATCTTCCTTGATGAACTTTGGAGACTTAGATTAGTCAAGTAGAAGAACATCTTTTGCTGCCAGCGCTTGCAATCAATCCCGGAAAATTTTTCGGGTTTCTCCGTCGGTGCCACTGCTGCCGGTGTTGTTTGGCTCATTGAGGCATTGGCAGTCACCATTGGAACAACTTGGTTCACATTATCATTAGTCATTTCTATAAAAGAATGACACAAACGTTAAAATCACGTAGATTTTAATCTCCAATAGAGTACAAAACCACAAAGGTTTTACTCTCCAGAAACAGTGAGTACAAATATAGAAAATATATTAAATACCTTAAGCTTGTTAGTAAACTGTATTTATAAAATAATTCTGGAAAATATAAATGAACATAAACAGAAATGAAAAACAGAAACATAATTTTAATCCGAGCCCACCGGATTCACAGTATTTCCTTAAGGAATTTAAGCCCCTCCTAGTACCCAAGGTTGTGGATTATTTCCTCCCAGGATAGAATAAATTACACACTGGTGTAGTGGTACTTCAAACCCCAGTGTTTCAGTGAACACAAAGTTCGGTAGCAAATCACACTTACTGTTGCTTTGTTTGATGTTAAAAGTATGCAGAAGAAGGAGGAGAACCTCAGCAAATCGTATGGAAATTCTGAGCAGAATAGTCTTGTATTTATAGCCAAAGTTGGACAGAAATATAAAGAGGTGCAACTCTTCAGAATGGTTGTTTATGCAAAACGGCCACAACATAAATGCCATAACATAAATGGCTATTTACTCAACAATAAAGAGGAAAAATAAAGAGGGAAAATTGAAGAGGGTAGTTTAATTTTCAGTTACACAACTGAAAAACGGATTGGATTTAATATTAATATTAATATTCTGTTATTAAAACAAATATTTAATAATATTTCTGTTAATATTTTACTATTAACAAATAAATTTGGTCCAAAAAATTAATCAATCAATCGATCATTTGACCAAATCCAAATCCGAATCCGAAGCCGAACCGCGCGAGCGACAATGACGACGGCGCGAGGCTTGCTTTCTTCTCAACTCTTTAAGAGCTAGAAGAAGAGCAATTGCTTATATACCCATAAAAAACCTCTTCCTCTTCCAATATGAGACAATGTCCCTTTGCCGGGGGGGGGGGGGGGGGGAACTAAAATTTCACTTAAAAATTTTATTTCCCTCCATTTCCCACTCACCCTATTTTAAGCATATCATATACTTAAAATCCCAACACTATTGACTCCATGACTAGTGCAAGTGAGACATGATCATGGGCAGGTTCAACTTGATCATGAGGTGTGGTTGCCTGCTCCTTACTCGAAGAACCCTGCTCCAATTGTTCAGGCAGAAGGTCATTTGTCACAGAAGATTCAGCCCATGGAAATAAGTCTTCTGTGTCTGAGTTCCTTTCTTGAAGGAAACACTTGCTCCCCGAATGAGACATCTCTACTAATAAACACTCTTCTACTATCCAAATCATATAGCTTGTACCCCTTTTGTGTTTCTGAGTATCTTTTAAGGACTGGCTTTCTTGCTCTTGGAGTAAACTTGTCACCACCAGGTAAGTTACTTGTAAAACACAAACAACCAAACACCCATAAGTGCTCTATTTTTGCTGGCTTGTTATGCAGCACTTCATATGGACACTTTCCTTGCAGCACTTATGTGGGCAATTTGTTAATCAAATATGCAGTTGTTCTTATGCAGTCACCACAGAATCTCATTGGCACTGAACTTTGGAATATTAGTGACCTTGCAACTTCTAGGATATATCTATGTTTCTTTTCTACTGTGCCATTTTGTTGAGGTGTATATGGACAGCTACTCTGATGTATAATTCCCAGAGATGTCAATAAATCATTGAACTGAAAGTTAAAGAATTCACTGTCATTATCTGACCTCAACACTTTCACAGCTACACCAAGTTGATTTTTTATCATAGCAAGAAAGTTTTTTATTACAACTAACACTTAACACTTTGGTTGAATCAAACATACCCAGGTATATCTACTGTAGTCATCCACAATGGTAAAAAAGAACGCTTTTTATCATATGTGGACACTCTATGGGCCCCCCAAACATCTAGGTGAACAAGCTGAAAAAAACTAGTAGAACTTGTATTGTTTGAAGGAAATTTTAACCTACACTATCTAGCTAATAGACAAACATGACAATTCTCTTGTACCTGCATGTCTACCTTTTTCTTTAACTCTGGAATATGCTGCATTGACTTCAATGATGCATGTCCTAACCTCAGGTGCCAGAGTTCACCTTCTGCTCCTTTGCTCATGAAGAAACCTTCTGCTCCTTTGCTCATGAAGAAACTTGCTGCAGCTACTGTTATATTTTCCTTTAGCAGATATAATCCATTATGCTCTCTACCAATCCCCATCACCCTACCACTATAAAGATCCTGAAACATGTAGAAATCAGGAAAGAATGTGACTGAGCAACTAAGATCTCTGGTGAGTTTTGATACTGACAACAGATTGAATTTAAAATCTGGTACATATAAGACATTTTTAACTGTCTTATTCCCTAGTACAAATGCTTCTCCAGTGTGTGTTATTTTTCCCTTATTTCCTGTTGCTAATTGCACCTCATTCTTTCCTTGATCATCAATTCTTCTCACACTGCTCAGAATATCCTTAGAGTATGTGACATGATGAGTTGCTCCTGTGTCTATCACCCAATCACACATACCTGCATTTGCTAGCAAGGAAATTATACCTGTCATGTTTGTGGAACACTCTGATGTTGCTGGTTTTGACAAAAGCTTGACTAGCTGCTTGTATTGTTCTTCTGTGAGGAATTGTCCATTCCCCTGCACTTGAATAGCTGGTGCCTTTCCTTCCTCACTGTTTACATTTACATTGTTGGTATAAACCTTTCCTCCTCCAGTGTGATTTTTTCTTTTGCTTTTGAAATCAACTGGATAGCCAATTATCTTAAAACAGTTTTCCTTAAGGTGACCTTTGTATCCACAATGCTCACAAATGATCCCTGGCCTTTTACCTTTAAAGTCCTGATCCCTTCCCGCCAACATGGTGAGTGGTTCCCTATGTGTATCAACCACACCTAAGGACCTTTGACTCTCTTCCTGAGTAACTATTACATATGCTTCATTAACAATCACTACAGGTCTTTTTGCTAGTACATTACTTCTTATGTTACTTTAACTTTCATTCAAGCCCATAAGAAACTGCAGTAAACGTTGTGACCTTAAATGTTCAACTAAAGGTCTAGCCTCCTCACAATCACATGAGGACAGAGGTACTAATACATCAAGTTCATCCCACAAATCCTTCATTTTAAAGAAATTGGTAGTTACAGAGTCAGTACTTGTCTCAATGTTGCTATGGTTGTCCAAAGGTGATAGATTCTAGTCAGATCTGATTTATCAAACCTCTCATTAAAATCACTCCAGCTTTTCTCGCATTTGAAGTATAGACAATTTGAAGCATAGACAATGCTTGGCATCAACTCACTTGATACAGTGCTTCCAATCCAAGACAAAACAATTGCATTGCATTTTTCCCATTATTCTACCAATTCGCCTCTATACGCACTCTTCGCACAAGTTACGTCCACAAACCCTAGTTTACTCTTTCCCCGGAGTGCCAATTTCATCGCCCTGCTCCACAACGCGTAATTTTCGGGCCCTGTGAGCTTGAGCGGTATTAGGATAAGTTCAGGAGCATTTGAAGGTTGTTGTTAAAATAGCGGATGATTGTGATCTACTGCAGCGTCTTCATTCCCTGCCATAGCTGATCATATCGGAGTTTCATCGAGCTTCGATTGTATGAATTTCTTCCTAATTCTGATGAGTTTATGATCGCCGCTCTGATACCATGATAGATTCTACACGATACAGAGATATATGGAGAAGAGGATGTGAAATGTTATTATCTGTGTATATTACACGTGAGTGTGGTCCCATTTATAGACCACATAACCGACTAACTAACCTCTCTTTTCCTATTTACAATTTAGTCCCTCAACTAGTTACTAGTACACATTAGTCTAGTCTCTATAGCAATACCTATAAATTACCATGCTGCACCTATTAATTCTTCAAAACCAAATCAGATTAGTAGAGTATTATGAGAAGTTAGGGGGAAAATCATTAATAGAGGTCAGGAAAATGAGATAATTGAAAGGACTGTATACATTCCACATGGTTAATTTCTGTTATAAGGCAAATCAAACCCACAAAAAGTTACAAAGTTGAAGGGATGAAAAACAGAAGAAAAAAAAAGATTAGACAAGCATGATTGATGAACTTTCGTCGTTTAGTATTGTAACGACCCGGCCGGTCGTTTCATGAGTTACCGCTCGGTTTCCCCCATTTCTACTTCTATTTTCTTTGTTTGTCGTTCTATAGGTGATCGGGTTGGTTGGCTCGGGTTCGGAAAAGTTTTAAAAAGGTTTGACACACTTATAGTCTCTTTTAAGAAAGCTTAAGTTGAAAAAGTCAACCGAATGTTGTCTTATGTGTAGGGTTTGGATAGCTTCGGGAGATGATTTGGGACTTAGGACCGTGATCGAAATGTATTTTGGAGGTCCGGAGTAGATTTAGGCTTGAATTGGCGAAATTGAGTTTTTGGTGTTTTTCGGTTGATAGATGAGATTTTGATATAGGGGTCGGAATGAAATTTCGGAAGTTGCAGTAGCTCCATTATGTCATTTGGGATGTGTGTGCAAAATTTCAGATCATCCGGACGGGGTTTGGTATACTTTTTGATCAAAAGGGGAATGCGGAAGATTTTAGAACCTTAGGCTTGAATTCGATGTGTTTTGGTGGTTTTGATGTAGTTTGGGGTGTTTAGAAGGTTGGTATAAGTTTGAATAGTATTATAGGATGTGTTTGTGCTTTTGGTTGAGGTTCCGGGGGCCTCGGGGTGATTTCGGATGGTTGACGGGAAGTTTGGAAGTGGTTTGGCAGTTGAAGTGTTGGAATTGCTGTCATAACCGCACCTGTGGCTAGATGACCACAGGTGCGGTCTCGCAGATGTGAAAAGGGGGCCGCAGATGCAGCCAGAGGCGTGATTCGCTGTGACCGCAGAACGGTTGTGCGACCGCACCTGCGATGGCGCAGGTGCGGATTGGGCATCGCAGATGCGGAAAGGCGGGGCTTAAGTGAAAACCGTAGATGCGGTACCTTGGACCGCAGGTGCGAAAAGCCTGGGTCAGAATGTATATATTTCTTCCTTTGCGATTTTCAGAGGGTTTCACCATTTATAAAAGCGATTTCGGGAGTTTTGAGCGATTTTTGAAGAAGGATTTCAAGGGAGATTCATTGAGGTAAGGATTTTGGACCTAAAACTCGTTCCTATTGTATTAATTCACGGATTAGGGCTAAAATTAATGGAATTTAAGCCAAAAATGGAGGAACTAGGGCTTAGAAACTTAGGCCTTTGATTGAGGATTTGAAAGACCATTTGTGGTCGGATTTTGGAACTTTTGATATGTATGAACTCGTGGGGAGATAAGGAATCTAATGATGTAAATTTTATCGAATTCCGAGACGTGGGCCCGGTGGTCAGGATTTGGTAATTTCGGCATTTGCATTTCTTTTCGATTATTTTCGAGTGGACTTTGTCCCTTTAGCATATTTTGATGGTTACGTTCTGATTTTGGTAGATTCGGAGCATCCGGAGGCCGATTCCAGGGGCAAAGGCATCGCGAGCTAGAGTTTGGGTCGGATTGAGGTGAGTAATGATTTTAAATGTTATCCTGAGGGTATGAAACCCCGGATTACACAGTGTTAGGCTATGTTGAGGTGACGCACACGCTAGATGACGAGCGTGGGTTCGTACACCGTTGGGGATATTGACTTGGTCCATCTCGAATGACTGTTTTACTGCGTATTTGATTGAAAATTGTCTGATATTATTATGTTTTGGGCTAAATGCCATATTTGGGCTTCATGCCAACTGTTTGGACCCTTAGGGGATATTTACTGCTATTTTCCTCACTGTCTGACTTTATACTTGCACTCAGTCATACTATATTTTACTGTTTTCATAACTTAGCCATGCTTACTCTGTTTTAAACACTTTAAATGATATTTTAAAAGATATTTTGAGCTGAGCATCATGTTTACTGGTGCCCGAGAAGCTTATGAGATTCTGACTGAGTAAGGCCGAGGGCCTGTGTTGTGAGGATACTTTTGGGTCGGGCTGCACGCCGCAGCGGTGATATACTGATTAAGATAATGAGGCCGAGGGCCTGATATTTTACACCACGAGGTGGCTTGTGATTGATATAAGGCTGAGAGCCTGTTTGATTATGCCACGAGATGGCTTGATATTGCGCTTGGGCCGTAAGGGGCCCCTCCCGGAGTCTGTACACCCCCAGTGAGTGCGGGTACCCATTGTGATATGAGATATAGCGTGAGGGGCTGGTATTGTTCTATGATATTGCCCGAGGGGCTGATTCTGTTGTTGTTATTGAGCCCGAGGGGCGGTTCTTGTGTGTTTACCTTTCTAGCTGCTTTTCTTTTATTTGTTTACCTGTTTAAAAGGTGTTTTCTGAGACTTCACTGTTTAATTGTGTTTACTGATTTTTGATCTGCCTCTTATAGCTTATTGTTGTGTTTAACGTGATTTTGTATCGCTCAGTCTTCATTTATTGTTATTACTCACTGAGTTAGATTACTCACTTTACTCCCTGCACCCCTGTGTGCAGATTCGGGCGCTACAGGTCCTGCTAGCGAGGGTTGAGAGCTGTCCAGCAGATTTCCGAAGATTTACTAGGTAGCTGCTCGGCAATTCGCAGCCCAGTGCATTCTCCCTCTATCTTATTCCCTTTCTGATTCAGTTATGTAGTAGTGGAGTAGACTTTCAGACTTGTAGTATTATTTTAGATGCTCATGACTGGTGACACCTCGATGTCGGGCTGTGTTGGTTTTAATTCCGCAATTTGTACTGTTCACTGTTTATTTTGGGATTTTAATTCTATTAAAGACTTAATATTTGTTATTTTAATTGCTTAAAGTGAACTAGAGGCGTGTCGGCTGTCCTTGTCTTCACGAGAGGCGCCATCACGATCGGGTACGAGTCTAGGGTCGTGACAAGTTGGTATCAGAGCCTAGGTTACATAGGTCTCACGAGTCATGAGCAGGTTTAGTAGAGTCTCGCGGATCGGTACGGAGACGTCTGTATTTATCCTCGAGAGGCTGCAGAACCTTTAGGAAAATTCCATATTCTTGAAATTCTTATCGTGTGAATCTGTTGATCCGAGTACTAAACTTTTGTTATTTTATTATCTCACAGATAGTGAGGATACGAGCGACCGGTCAGGATGGACGACCACCAGTACCACCAGCTGGAGCCACTAGAGGCCTAGGACGCGGTCGAGGCCGTGGTAGGGGCAGAGGTGCAGCCCACACAGCAGCTGGGGTAGCACCTACAGATCCACCAGCCGCCCCAGTTCAGGATCAGGTCCCAGTTGTGGACGCTCCAACAGCACCAGCTCAGGTACCAGCTGTGCCCATTGTGATTCCGAGTCTTCAGGAGACTTTGGCCCAGATTTTGACAGTATGTACGAGTCTTGCTCGGGCGGTCGCGGTCTCTACTGCCGCAACCACTTCTCAGGCAGGGGGAGGCTCTCAGACTCCCGCCGCCCGCACATTCAATCAGTTTTTTTCAGGGATTGCAGACACCGGAGGCACCTCTAGCCCAACCGGTGGCAGCTGCTCAGGGTTACGTAGCTCCAGTTATGCCAGAGGACGAGCAGCGTAGATTGGAGAGGTTTGGTAGGCTCCAGCCTCCTATTTTTAGTGGTGCAGAGAGCGAGGATGCCCAGGGTTTCTTAGACAGATGTGAGAGGATTCTTCGCACCGCGGGTATTCTGGAGACCAACGGGGTTACATTCAGGACCTTTCAGTTTATCGGAGCTGCCTTCACTTGGTGGGAGGCATATGAGAGGCGTAGGCCTATTGGTTCGGCACCTCTTACTTGGCAGCAGTTCTCCGCTCTATTTTTGGAGAAGTATATTCCACAGTCCCGTAGGGAGGAGCTGCGTAGGCAGATCGAGCAGTTG